AGTTTCCTACGAGCAATAACTGCCGTATGCTTAAGCAATGACAGCCATCAGCCCGAAGAATAAGTAAACAACCCAGCCTTCATACGACAGCCTTTCAACAATTCCAAGTTTCCAATTTCCTAGCCATTTTCTGAAAGTTTACACATCTGTCAACGTTTATTTATTGTCTGTTTCAATCCACAAATAAGTTTTCTTTCTTTTAAAATGGTGTATGAGTAACAAATCCAAATGATATCCCTCTGAATCAAACACAATTATTTTCCTCCCGTGAAATACACAACTTTTAAGAATAGCCGCCGCTTATATTTAACAGAGCCAGGTCTAATATAAATTCGCAGTAAGAAACAGAAATATGGATGGATGGTTGGACTTTTTCTCCTACTAAAATTGTTTGTTTTTATTATTAAAATAAGCAATCATTCATATTTTTTAATATAATGAAAAATATCATCGCCACAGTGGGAATACTGTTTCTAAAGCCCACTCGATGAAATTTCATCTTACACACAAACAAACAAATATCCTCTATATACTCCATATTAATTGTCGTAAACTTTACTGACGAAATCGAAGTGGAATCTTATATTTCAATGAGTGCTGTAATGTTTTCATAATTGACAGGTCAATAAAATAAGACTATACAAAAAAAGCAATTAGGCTGTGTATACAAACAAATATATTGTTGTTCCAACATGCAAAAGCGGGATTAAGTGCAAAATCACCACAAAATCTTTTTAAAGTACACATTATAAAATTTATCATAAAATAAAAGATACCACCTTTGTTAAGCCTTTTCTCCAGAAACTAACTAAAGACATAATAATTACATAATTGCACGTATTTTAAAGAATAAATTAAGGGTACAAAATTTTAAGAATATAAGCTTGTTATGTTTATCCTACTCAAAACATTATCGGGATCAAAAACTCCTTTTGTAACCCAAATGTCTACGACATCTTGACTCTATCTCAATCAATGAAAGTTGTTTTCTGTCTATTTTCTGTACGTCAGGTTTATATACAAAAATGTGTTGATTGAGTGTTGAGCAAACTAGGTAAAAAAATATCCTACTTTTTAAATGGTTACAACAACATTTCTGTCCCATTCTTTTATAAAATGTGTCACTTGCTGAAATGTTGAAATTAATAAAGAGCCGTTTTTCAGCATATATGTAAGTTTATTGTGTGTTGTTTTGTTTGTATTTGTTGTTTTCTGCCGAAAATATTATCTGCATAATTAATTTTTTAGATTCAATTATAACTGCATTAAGGTATACGACGGATAATCGATAATATTAAAAAGTCATCTTAAACTTAGAAGTGTATACTTTATCACATTCTTAACAAAAATACAGAAAACAACAAATGTTTACCATCTTGTTTAAAAATAAGTGACAATTTAATTTGAAATTGAAAGTTAAAAAAAACAACAACAGCAACAATAACAACACCATATTTTCATCGAGTCATAAAATGTTTGAAACCGGGAGATTGCTACGTGTGCTTGCTATACCATGGCAGGTCTCGAAAATTTTGGAATTCAGTCACGGTTTTGCGAAAATTATACATAATTTGATATACATTAGAATTCAGGGTATCCTCCAATAAATTGCCTGGATATCTTAAAGTAACAGCAAAGTTATCCATAAAAATATTACTTGTAATAAATCGAGTAATATTTTCTTTGACCATATATAAAAGTCACGTGGGTTGGCTACATAGTAGAGGTGTTAAAATATAATTGTAATACATCCTTTGTTAGCCATTGAAATTGTATTTAATGTATAAAGGACTTTCAAAAATGGTTCTTATTCAGAGCGGGCGCCATGGTGCAGTGGTAACACTGTGTGCCTACAAATCATGGGGTCGTGAGTTCGATCCCCCGCTACTCCACTGAACGAATAAATGACTACAAGACTGACAAAACCAGGACATCGACACAGAATGACGTCAACGATAGTTACAAGAGAAGACCTTAAAGGATCAGGAAACAAGTACCGAAAGTACAAGACCGAAGACTACGACCGTTAAAAAAAGGAAGAACGGAGACAAGAACTGACAACAAACGAACAAAGACGAGGACCGGTAACAGAAGAACAGGACTGGGACCGATAACAGGAGAACAGAGACAGGAACCGATAACAGAATAACAGAGACAGGGACCGATAACAGCAGAACTGACAACAAGCGAACAGAGACAGGGACCGATAACAGAAGAACAGAGACGTGGACCGATTACAGAAGAACTGACAACAAGCCAGCACAGGCAGGGACCGATAACAGAAGAACAGAGACAGTGACCGATTACAGAAGAACTGACAAGAAGCGAACAGAGACGAGGACCGTTAACAGAAAACAAGACAGGGTCCAAAAACAGAGACGGGACCGATAACAGAATAACATAGACGAGAACCAATGACAGAAGAACGGAGAAGAACAAAGACGAGAATCGATAACAGAAGAACGAAGACGACGACCAATAACAGAAAAACAGAGACGAGAACCGGTAACAGAACATCTGACAACTGAGACCAGGACCGATTACAGAAGAACGAAGATCACGACCAATAACAGAAGAACTGACAACAATAGAACTGCGACGAGGGCCGTTAATAGAAAAACGAACACCAAAACCCAAGAGTACTCAAATTAATTTGCATGCCCCCTCACACATACGCACGCTGTGATAAGTAGGAATCTATATGCTTGCATAGAGTGACAGATAAAATACATGAAAGCTCTATTTCTAGCAGATAGGGCAGGGAAGAGTATAGTTTTCGCTTCGTAAACCCTAAATATAGGTCTCTTATGTTTAAATGCCTTAAAATTTCCAGTACTTTCTTTAATAGTACTTCTGTATTACTATTATAATGGCCTATAAAAAAATGTCCGCCATCTTGGATTTTTCGGCAATATTGGATTGTTTTTTTTAATTCTGTTTTGGTGTCTAATTTGTTTTTACCTTAACATGCTTTGTAACAAATTTCAGGCTTTTCCTTTCCTCAAAAGTTTTATTTGATATATCATCCATTTATGATAAAGAAATTTGGCGGCCATTTTAGTGGTCATTTTAAATGGCCATTTCAATGGTCAAGATCAAGTTTTTCAATTTGGTATCCACCTTTAGCGGATTCAGCATACATTAAATAGGTGAAATACACCAAGATACTACTTGTACTACAAAATGCCTCTAGCATCTTATAGGGAGACAAATTTTCAAAATCAGTCCTGTCTATCACTCACTCACTCACTTACTTACTTACTTAAAGTTATCACACCGATTGATAACAAATATATACTCAAAACTATATTGCTATAAATGCATACATGTATTTTATATTAATTTACTGATATTGTTTTGCATTTTGGCATTCTATTTTTGCATTAAAATATGTCTTTTTTATATTCAGATAATAATGTTTATATTGCAATAAAGTTTACTTACATCGTAAAGTATGATTATTTGTTTTTCAGGCATGTTAATTTTGTATTTTCGGGAATGTTTGTTTTGGATTCAGATAATCTTTTTATGTTTATTTTTTATTTTGAAAATAATTTGTTTTCGGGAATATTCTTTTTATTCCAAGATGTTTATTTTGTGTTTAGAAATGTTTATTTTGTGTATTCAAGAATGTTTATTTTCTATTCGAATATATCTAATTTATGTTCAGATATGTTTATTTTACATTCAATAATATATATTTTAAATTTGTATTCAGAATTTCTTTTAAACATATTCAAGAACGTTTTTTTTGTGCTCGCAAAAGTTTTCTTTTCTTATGAGGAATGTTAATTATTGTGTATTCAGGTAATATTTGTGTTATTCTTCAGAAATGTTTATAACTTTGTTTTTAGGTATTCTAGAATATTTATTATTTTGTATACAAAAATTATATTTTATTTCAGGTATATAGCATTTTGTATTCGGATATGGTTATTATATTAAGAGGATATAAAAAATTGTATTTGAAACATGATAAAATGCCACATATTTTCACGAGCCGGGCATTTTATCATGTTGAGTGAAAATATATACCATATTTCACGAAAAACGAAAAAATAACCTTTTTATTTAATTTCATTATCAAAGAAAAATGGTTACGAACCCCCTTGCTTGCTACGCAACTGCAATTGTACAGCGCGCAGTGATATAATTATTGTCTTATTATTTAGCGATATTTAGCGCTACATTGTGACGTCACGTAAACAACTATAAAAACGTCTGTACAGCGTTAATGACTGAATTAAAGATATTGGTGTTCGGATTAATTTTCTTAGTTAGACCATTTTCTATCATTCTAGATGGTTTTCAGCACGAAATTCAACAAAAAGTTGTTTGTATTTATCAGATTTTTCAAACAAAATGGCGAAAGAAGTCCCTTAAAATAAATAGGAGTTATGACTCCGCCCACTTTCATATTTATATTTCATATTTATTTAAAAAAAATATGAAATATATTTGACTGATATAGCACCATATTTCATGGGTAAAATTAAATAAATATATATATTCGCGAATATATATTTTGTACCTAGGAATGTTTATAATAATGTATTTAGAAATGCTTATTTTTGTATCCAGGTATGTCAACTTTGTATTCGGATATTTTCATTTTGGTATTGATTTATGTTTATTTTGCTTTGAGGAAGGTTTATTATATATTTGAGAATTGTATTTTGCACCTAGTTTGTGTTATATTCATGACTATTTATGACTTTGTAGATCTCTATTAAGGTACTCTAGAATGTTTATTATTCTGAATACAAGAATGACTATTTTATTTCAGGTATGGTCATTTTTGAATTCGGGTCTCTTTATTACATAGTCTAGAATGGTTTGTTTGCACCCAGGAATGTTTATTGTTTTGTATTGAACAATGCTTATTTTGTATTTAGACATGTTCATTTGGTTTTGGGGTATGTCTATTTTGCATTCAGATATTTGTATAATATATTCATGAATGCTTATTTTATAATCAGGAATGTTTATTTTGTATTCAGGGTGACTCAGGAGGACCATTGGTCTGCACACGTGGCGGTATTTACTACTTTGTTGGTATTACGTCATTTGGTCATTACACGTGTAGGCAGGACGGTTTCCCCGACGTTTACACGAAAGTTCTTAGTTACAAAGATTGGATGACGTCATATATGCTTCTCCTTAAAGTAATCGTTTAGGAGATTGGAAATATTGAAATCAACTGAAACAAACATTTGTTTTCATGTTATATTTAATGTATCCAGTATGTCCAACTGAAAATAAAATATTGAATACAGTTTTGCAAAAGAACTAGTTTATTGAAAATATTGGCCTATTTTTATTTACCGTTTTTATTTTCTGACGTGTATTTACCAAATAACCCACGGAGTTTGCAATAAGACTTTTGCTCCTCTCTTAAATTACAATGCAACTCATCCATGTTTAAAACCAGTACACAAAATCACGTGTATTTAAATGACTTGCTAAATTTTATTGCACGTGCAAATCGTGCAAAAATAGACTGTTGGTTAGAAAATTTAATAATATCTCCAACGGTATATTATACATATATAATACATATATATGCATCGATGCATTTGCCACATGACCATTTATGTATGCACAGATCCTTGACCTGTATACAATAAGAATTTCACCACAACAGATTTGATCCGCGTCACGACAAAACCAACATAATGCGTTTGCGACCAGCATGGATCCAGACCAGCCTACGCATCCATGCAGTCTGATCAGGATCCATGCTGTTCGCTTACCAACCCTATAATAAGAACTAAAACTGATAGCGAACAGCTAGATCCTGATCAGACTGCGCGGATTCGCAGGCTGGTCTGGATCCGTGCTGGTCGCAAACGCATTATGTTGGTTTTGTCATGACGCGGCTCATTTGTTAACAAAAGAGCACATGTTAATACGTCGACAATACCTTAGAAGTAATAATTTATTCTAAGACATAATGTCTGCGGAACATTCTTAGATATTTAAAAGAAACGGAATATTGATACCTTTTTATGGCTGTTTTAACGAGTTTTCTTTTCATCTACTATTCACAAACAAATTCCACTAAATGCCGCTGTTAAAGGATATTGCTGTTAACGTGATGTTTTAATGAGTTTTCTTTTCATCTACTTTTCACAAACGAATTTCACTTAATACAAATTGCCGCTGTTATAGGATATTCTGTTAACGTTATGTTTTAATGAGTTTTCTTTTCATCTACTATTCACAAACGAATTCCACTAAATGCCGCTGTGATAGGATATTGCTGTTAACATTATGATTTAAGTTGATAACGTGTCCTCTTCTTTCTTAAAACAGAATTAAAGACACATCGTGTCACGAAGGAATTACAATTAATTGTCTTGATATTGAGAACTGTGCGGTTAATGGCGAAATGTGTTACTAGTATAAACGGACCCAATCATAAGAAACTGTAGCATATGCAATTTTCCGCTTTAGACGTCCACGCGGTATAAAGACACATTTTATTACATAAGTCGGTAAGATTTATCTAAAGTATTCATAATTTTGTACTATCTTTTCTTTAGGAATAACCGTAAGTGCAACCTTTAAATAGATAGTTAAACAAACAAATTGATAATGAACATTCCAATATTTTATTAGTATTTGATAATAATGCAATATAAATGTACCGAAAGGGACGTATAATGAACCATTGACTCGTTTGTCATAAAAAAAGTTATCTAGTATTTCCATTAAAAAGAGCCGGATTTTCATATTCAGTGCTTTGCAAAAAAGAAAAATCTTTATTTTTAAAACAGTTTAGGTACCAACAAATTACACTATTACACTATTACACAATGAGCAACATAATTGACCATTTAATAAAACAACAGCAACAACAACAAACCCCATTAGGTTTATAATGTTTTTATTACTTTGTATAGTAATGAAATCTGAATAGGGTATTAATACAACATATATAAATTATATACATACAAATTAACACTTCTTCGACCTTTTTTTTTTACTTTAAATTTACTATAAATTTTCAATTTCAAGTCACAGATTACAATTAAAGAATTGTTAAATAATTGGTAAGCGTCAATGACTTATGTAATACGTTCTATCCGTCAGAAATTACACGAATTACCATTTCAACAGCAGTTCATATCTTAAAGCCCAAGTGTTATTTTTTTTCTTTGAAATTTATTTTTAAAAGCTTTCCGCTATTTTGATTTTTATGATTTTTTTGTTGTTGTTGTTATCATTTACTATATATCTTACATTACTTTTTTATTTTCCATAAAAAATCTAAGCAAAAGAAAACAATCGTCACATAATCCTTCAAAAGAACCTATTGCAAATATTTATGCCAACTTACTTTTCAAGCAGTTAAATTTGTTTTATAACTTAAATGTTCGAAATGTTCTTGAAAAAGCAAACGTTGTGCTTGTTTTTTGCAATAAAATATGTCTGTTGCGCCTGTTGCGCCAAAAAATCTTTGTTGCGTAATTTGTCATACCTTTTGTTCCCTCTCCGAAATTTGTTTACGACATAAGTCACGACATTAGAATATAGACTAGCCCATTGACACGTTACTTATTAGGTAGATAAAAATAGATTAAAATGAAAAGAATATGATATTCAAACATGGCACTATCACTTCACTTTAACGTTTATTTTTAGTTCCTTAAAGCTCGGAGTCATGTTCTACATCAGAAAAGCTACTTTTATTAAAGTATATGCAAACAGTGTGATTTTGTTAAACAAAGAGTGAGATTTTGTTAAAACAAAACCAAAAAATAGACAAAAGCAAGACTAAAATTTTCCCCATTGCTAAATAGACGAATACATATCTACTAGACGCTGCGTGCACGCAAGAAATAATAATTACAGAAATATAAGAACACAAAATTATAAGTGGACAATGTGTTAATATGTGAAATATCACTGCCATAATAATCAAGTTTTCTGACTGAGCAGTATATCTTAAACCTTTCGCTGACAGAGTTATTGTTTTATTGATAGAGTTTTCTAAGAAATTACTTTATTATTAATTAATATACATTGTATTATTATTATTTGTTATTAGTATTATAATAATTATATATGTTTCCAAATCTGTTAGTATAATAATAATTATTGTCGATGTTATATTTTTTATATTTATTATTTTTGTTATTATTATTAATTTATTATTTCCATTATTATAAATAAAGAAACGACAAAAGCCGTCGATATGGCAAATACGCCGAAAGTACCAGGAACGACATAAGCCGTCCCTATGGCAGTGAAAGGGTTAAAAATACCGACAATTAATGTGATGTCTCATTATATTGTTATTACCAATTATCTGTGCAGTTCAATAGTAAGAATGATTCTCAGAATTGATTTTAAAATAAATCAAAATCACTGATGTGTCTGAAATTAGATAAACCTTTCATTAATACGATCAGACTTTATGTCCTTCTTAACATCATTGAAGATTTCCTTAACGTGTCTCCTTCAGGTCCTTCTTGAAACCCTCCATGCCAGTGTCCACAATAAAGGAAATCAGCCCCATCAAGTTGACATATTGTACCTGGTGGGGCATATAATCCATTGAGATTAGCGTATGTACATGAGTCATACCACCAGCCTCCGTGTCGATCAACAGCACAATTTCCTGTATCTTTTGAATCTAGGTCACGGTCAAAAGTTGAAAAAGCAGCTAAATTATTGTGCGCTAACCCTTCTACTAGGTTGCCTGAAAAGGATAATTAATATTTTCACTGCTTGTTTAAGTACATTGACAATTTTAGTCAATCATATAGTGGGAAAATTCCCCAATTAAACAAATAAAACATTGAAACAGTTTTACATCTGCAAGATAATCTTTTTTGTTTATATGTTTTTTTTACTCGTTATTTGTTAAAGTTCTCTTAAGATAAAGGTTAATACATAGAGATAACGGTAAATGTAATGTTACAAAATAGGTAAGGAGAAAATGATTTATTTCTGGACTTTGTGTTGCTATAGCAAAGCTCAATTTAGGGACTTAAATTTATATATCAATTAAAACTAATGAAATCTTCATGCCAAAAGTATGTTTGTTTATTACATTAGTACGGAAACGTATAGCGACCACCCCTATATGATATATATCAAATGACATTTTTTATAGTTTTATAGTATGTTTCTTATATGTAAATATGATTTGAGGAAAGAAATACATATTTAAAAAGATGTTAGTGTATTATTTTTTCATTTAGTCAGAAAGTTAAAAGTAGTTTATCTTGCATTATAAGATAAAAAAAACGTACGATAGATTACGAAAAAATACGTATTATATATGATTTACAACATAACTTGATTAAATTGCTTCCTTTATACATTGCGTGAGATTTTCTGTCCTCATTATCAAATATAAGCTGTAAAATATGTTATATTATAATGCAAAAAATCAAATATATATAACTAATACATATAAATGAACAGAAAAAAACTCACATAAATTTTAATCCAGCAATATTAACAGCAGATTGAGTAAAAAGTATATATTCAATATCAAATAACAATTAAAATATTGGTCAAAGATATATCATGTGTTAAATAAATTGTCTAAAATTCTGTTTTACTAACATTCAGAGGCGGAAGATATTACAATATACATATTTCAGATCAAGTAAGTTTGTAAAAATTGGTTAGGTATATAATATGTATTAAATAAATTGTCAAAAATTATGTTTTAACTAACATATAGGGGTGGTCGCTATACGTTTCCGTACATTAGTACATTTCATCATATATTAGTTTAGTATAATTTATCTTTCATACTGTAACTATCAACATTCGTATAAATTTTGTACCTGATGCGTTGCGTAACCCAATGTTGAGTCTATAGTCTGTTCCATTTGTTAACTTAAATTCCTGAAAGGTCTCATACCCTATTTCGTTTCTGTGATTTGTTACATCAAGGCGAGCTTCTGAACGATTTTGGTCAGCTAATTCTTGTATGTACTTCAGGCCTATGGTAAACATAAATTACTATAAATGCAATGTGTGCGAACTATCATGAATATATATACAATACCTAATCGTCAAAACTAAAAGTTGAAATGCAAAAATAAAACGAAAGAAAAACAACTTTAAATGAAACAAAATCAAATAGTGTGACACACACAAAAATCTCGTTATGATAAACTTTACAGCATATACATTATTTACGCAAACTGATTAATTTTATATTAAACGATCTTGTTATATAAATACATTCACTAACTGTATTAAATGATCAAAAACCAAATGATATCTGAATGATAGCCTACTAGATATATAACACTTAGTTGTAAATTTAATATCAAATGCAAATATAAAGTGAAATAATAAACATGCGTATAATCTGTATCGTACACATTTTGCATTGTCAAGAAATCTTGAAATTATTCACTATTTTATCTTCTGCCATATTAATATCTTATATCAACATATCACATATCATAATAAAGACATATAAACCAATAAAGTGTATCGCTGCAACAGTTATTACGTGTTCCTAAAATATAAAAATAAAACTGAAACATTTAAAAACAAGAATATCTTGACACGCAAGACGTTTTTGTCCAGATTACATTGATATCTTTAAACCTTTATACGCATTAACGGTAGATGTATTACGTAACAATGTTAGCCATTGATATTGTGAAGTACGGAAACGATCATTTAATCACTGTATTACACTTATTAACACTAAAACTATTATCGGACAGACAATACATCAGCAGTACGTATGCGAGATATGACATCCCGTATACTGACAATCTATAGAAAACGCGACACATTTTATGCTTTTTTTTGTATTTCTTTCTTTCTTTTTTTTGGCATAGCCTATCATCTTATGTTTTAAAGTACAAATGCCCGCGTACAATGAATGAAAATAACAACATAAGTCGTTTAGTTAAGCAAATTGTTTCACTTATCTAAAATAAAAATATCAAAGTGAACCATAAATTTAACCTAGCCACAGTTCTCCTCTTGCGATTCCAAACCCATTTTCATACTCTGTGATGTTTCGATAAAAGTCTATAGACCCGTCAAAGCGCCTATGAAATATCTACAAAGAGTGAAACGACATTAGCACAGTATAGTTAAAATAGACAAAAGAAATTTAATCAAATTCAATCTGACGTATTATAAAGTAACAAACCATTTATATCCTATGAGATGGAAAAGGGGCGTTTCATAGAACTATTGCACATTTTGATATTATGCTTGATAGACTGTTCAGATTTAGGTAGTAAACTATGAAACAGACTACGAGGATCCTAAACTGGCTCCGGTACAGACCTGAGCATCTAGCTCGACGGTAACTGTTTACTGCCGTAAAGAGGCTGTGTAAAGTTTCCGCTAAGAACTCGATATTCCTGATTGAGACAATAGCCGTTTGATTATTTTTTCTTGCATATAACAAATTAATGATATCCGGAAAGAAACTACGAAAACTAATATTTTCATTTAGCACTGTTTTCTTTTTGTTGTGTATGAATTTACAGCTTTCAAGTATGCGGAAAACAGAAAAAATGGAAGTATCTATGCTCCAACGATATTTGCTGAACAAAGTTTTCATTAGTTTAATACTTTACATACCGTCCAGCCGCCACCGTCTGTTTCCATGTCACAATTCACAATAAGTTTCTTCTTAGACTTCCATAGTTCTATCTCATAAAATCCACTTTCTGCTTCCGGGTATACATCAAGAACTTCTTTACAGTCGCTCACTAGGCAATAACGATATAACAATAAAAAAAACATAGCATAGCTTCTAATGAATTCACCGAGTTAAGAATAATTCATAAAGCAAAACTATTGAATTGGTGATAAATCCTTGGCTTTCATATTATTCTTTACAGATTTATAAATGTTTGTATTGTGGCGTTTTTCATTTAGATGTGGTATTGTTTATCAACACAGAATAGTTTTGAATTTGTTTAAGCGTATAAAGCTTTATCAGGTTATATGTAATTACTAGAGTATCTATTTGCATATTAACGAAAATCATACCAATGTTTGTAAATCTCGGTCTGACAACAAAGTCATAACTAAACTTTCTAGTTATGGCAACTGATATTTTTGTTTTGGAATATATAATTCTGTTTGCATAATTATATCATCATGATTTAAGTAAACGGATATAAACATTTTGTTTAACCACTCACCAGAAATAATCAAAAGAATATGAACACAAGGTATTTTTGAACGTTGTGAATGAAATATTTTACTCTTTTCAGACCCTACATGTGTTGACCCCATTTTTTCGCTTCGTCATATAACCATTTGTGGGTCGAAGCAACTCTCACAGTGGTTTTACAAATTTTTTTTCATGGGTTTACCTGATGTGAAACTTATAAAGTGTAGGAAAAGAAAAACAACTTTTACAAAAAAAGAATCAAAAAGAAAAGAAAAAAAAAACAACAAGAACAAAAAGAAAAAGAGACAAGGTCGACATGCATTCACACTTGCACTGTATTTGTTTAATAGTTTCAAAGCATCAACATTATATAAAATCTAATGCATGTTATTTGGCTTGAATTATTTCTTAGTTACATTAACTCAATACTTTTCGGTCTAAAAATAGGATTATCTCAGCTGACATTTTCTTTTTAAAATACAGACATAATTTAAAAAAAAAACTCAAAACTTTATCAAACTTAGGTAGCCTATTTTATTTCTGATTGCTACCTCTTTATCAGTCTTGAGCTTTTGTGTTATAAAGTGTTTTTTGCTCCAATCATTGATAAAGAAAGATCAAGCATTTAACACTGATAAACCTACATTTGAAAGTATGCTAAAAAAAATTGTTGCGTTAGGCAGATCATCATTTGCATTATAGCAAAACATCATTTCTTTTATACACAAATATAAAAAAAGGTTCTTCATTTTTTATAAGAAATTCAATTATAAATGTTTTGACAATGGGAAACAGCCAAAATGGATGCTCAATGCTTACAACATTATTACAACAAAAAAAACATGAAGGACTTTCTTTATACATAATTTAGTATAAAAGATGATTGGTTCCAATAATCCTGTGTAAAATTCTTGTTTGGAACCATTGCAACTTTGCACGTTTTGTATTTCAAAAAGGCATTTCAAAAATGAGTTTCCATTAATTTTCACTAAAAGCTTCATTAAGATTTGTTTGTCCATTTTTCGATACTTGTGGGCTTTGATTTATTTTTATTTAATATATTATAGAAATTTTTGCTCCATTTATGTGTGATATGATATCTTAAAAGTATAGTTGTATGTCTTGGCCAATACTTTTCTGTGGGATGATATAGATTATATCATATTTATTTAAAAGTTGCTTTACTGATACGTGAAAACACACCGTTGAAAATTATGAAATTAGATTGAACATTATATCTATTAATAAATTCATTATAAGATAAAAACTTTCCATCAGATGCTATTAGGTGTTCTATGTTATAAACATCAGTTTCTATATACATATTCAATGGCGTTGTACAAAAGGATAATAAAAGTATGTACATATAGATAAAAAAAACAACACACATGCATGGCAAATGAACTACAAAAAAATATGTTAAAGATATCAGCCGTGTAAAAAATAAAGTATTAAAAACTTTAAAAAAAGAAAGAATAGTTATAAAAAATAACAATAAAAAATAATTTAAAAGAAAATAAAAATTAATGGTTATTTCAGTAAAATTTCAAACACATTTCCACATCTCTATCAGTTTACAGCCCAATCACAATCTTAAAACAATGTGTAAAAATCTCTAAAATAGTAGGTTTTGACATTTTTCTTGAACATGTCCAAAGTCGAAGACTGTCTTGTATACAGAGGCAATTTATTCCAGAGAGTTGGACCAACGGTACTAAAACTTCTGTCGTTAAATGTTTTCCTTTTGTTAAAGGAAAATAATCCATATTATCAACAGATCTGAGATTTGGTCTTTTTATGACAGGCTTGTGTAACAGTTCTGTTAGATAAACTGGAGCATTGCCCATAAAACAGTTATACATTGTACATAGTATTTTAAAATTGATCCTAGCTTTAATTGGTAACCAATGCAGTTCCAACAAAGAGTCTTTGGAACTATCATATTTTCCGCGTTGCAAAACAAGTTTAGCGCACATATTCTGGATTCGCTGTAATTTTTGTAACTCACTTTCTGAAATGCCAAACAATATAGCGTTGCAATAATCCAAATGTGAGATTACAAGCGACAATACTAGGATTTTTGTGGCGTCCTGAGTCAGATATTTGCGAATGCTCTTTATTCTCAAATAATTTAACATAGCAGTTCTACACTTGGTCTTAACATGTGTTGAGAATCTTAGGCCCTCGTCTAAGTAGGCACCTAAGTATCTTATGACACTGACATTTTGAATTTTATCGCCGGCGATATCAATTTCTTTAATTGAACATTTACTAAGTTGGGTTTAACTACCAAACATAATGAATTCTGTCTTAGTGGTGTTCATTTTGAGTTTATTGGCATTCATCCAGTCATTGATGATTACAGCACTGTCTTCAAGTTGCTTTATAGCGTTAAGTTCATTGGTCACTGAAGTTGGTCGAAAGCGTTGACTAGCAATGTGGTCATCAGCAAAGCCGTACACAGATATGGATGGTGGTATCACATCAAAAAGGGTTCCCGCATATGTGAGATAGAGCCACGGACCAAGACAGCTCCCCTGAGGTACACTGCATTCCAGCAATCGTGGAGTCGATTCAGTAGAATTAACACTGACGCGACAACCACGAGGTCGCAGGTACGAGTCCACCCAAGCTAACACGGTACCATTGACACCGTACTGACTGTAACACGTCGAGTAGAATGTCGTGGTCAACGGTGTCGAAAGCTGCACTTAGATCTATTGCAATTAGAGCTGTGACCTCTTGCTTCTCCATACCGTCTAGAAGATCATTGACAAGTCTGAGTAAAGCAGTCTCACATGAATGATGACGCCTGTATGCTGATTGATTTTTGGGTAACAAATTATGGGTATCGACATGGTTATTTAGTCTGAAGAGCGCAGCCTTTTCTATCAATTTTGAAAGAAACGATAAGTTACTGACAGGCCTGTAGTTTGACAATTGTAATTCTAAACCAGACTTCTTAAGAAGGGGTCTAACGATCTCCTGTTTCCAGTGTGTTGGAAATACGCCTTTAGACAGAGATAGATTGACCAGTTTGGTAATGGTTGGCAGAAGCTCATCTAGATGTGACTTTAATATATGTTTGGGTATTAAGTCCAGCTCACACGATTTGGTATTTAGTTCACAAATAAGGCTCTTCACCTGTGTTTCTGTAAGATCTTCGAAATTTTCTAAAGGTTGAATTTGTTTGACATTTGGAATGAAGCTTGGAAAATCCTGAAGTGATTTACGAATTTTAGCTATTTTATCCATAAAAAAGTCTGCAAACTTCTCAGCTAGCTCACCGTCATTTGTAGACTGTGGCATAGGATTTTCAGCTTTAGTACCAGTAAATTCCGAAATTAAACCATAGATTTTTTTGAATCACCTTTGGCATTTAGAATTTTCTCACTTATTACTAGTTTTTTCTCAAAATCAATTTCTTTACAGTATCTATTCCGTGCTTCTTTAAATTTCTTGAACTGTTCTGGCTCTTTGTACTTTCTCCAAATTCTCTCTTTATTCCATCGAACCACGATTTTAAATATACGCTTTTTGAACCAATTAATATGTTATAATTGTTAAAAAAAATAAAGGATGTTTTCCGAAAAATTGATTTTCGATTTGAATTAATTCTATAAATCTTGATAAGGCTGTTAAGATTGTTAATTTTGTTTCTTTTGCAAGTTTATCAAAGTAATAGTTTCCGCAATGAAAAAAAATGCATATCTTTTTTGTCGTAAAGAATACTTTTCCAACTAGCATTTGAGATTATTCTTTTAAACCATGTTATTTTTAATGCCATGATAAAGGCAAAAAATATTTATCATCTGCAAGCCGCCTTCGGCATAGTTTTTACAATAACTGAAGACTTAATCTTTACATTTCCTTTCCAAATAAAGTCATAAAACATTTTATTTAATACAATGATTACATCGTCAGAAGTAGTGAAATGAATAAATGATTTAGAGATGAAATCAAAAAGATTTAATAACAGCAATTTTACATATTGGTATGAGAATTCTTCTTTTCCAACTTTGGATAACCTTTCGAATATTGTTTATTGTTTCGCTATAGTTAAAATCTATAATTTTATTTAAGTCAACATGAAAATTTATGCCTAACATTTTTAATTGATGTTGATTCCAGGATAATTTCCATCTTGTTGTTCTACACTTTTGAGAATATTTCATTTTCCCTATCCACACAATTTTAGTTTTATAAAATTAAGATTAAGTCCCGATAGTTGTGCAAAATCTGACAAGATTTCCAAAGATTTTTTAAAACACTTGATCCATCTAAAATCATTGTTGAGTCATCTGCAAAGTGTGACAATTTATGTCCTACATTGTTAATGTCTATTCCTTTAATAATCTTGTCATTTTTTATTTTTAAAGTTTTTTTCAACTTCAGCACATAATGTAAAAATATATCATGAAAGAGGATCTCCTTGTCGGCAGCCTTTACCTATTTTTACAAAATTTGATAAAAAAGAACCACATTGACTAACAGCAGAAATTACATCTTTATATAAAATATCAAACATTTTTTTTATAAATGGACCAAAAAAGACAGGGTATACTGTACAAATGTCCAAGAGTGACTCAAAAGCTTTTTCAAAATCTATTCAAAGAAAAGTCCAGGAATGTTATTTTCTTCAGTATACTGCATGATATCATAGATAAGACGGGTATTTTCTCCAATATATCTTCCTTTGATGAAACCTGTTTGATCTTTATTTATTAGTTTATCTAGTAGAGTAAGTTTTATTCGATTTGCAATGCAACTTGCAGCAATTTTGTATACTTCATTAAGAAATATTATAGGTCTTAAATTTTTCACGAATTGTTTAGGTTGGTTTTCTTTTGGAATACATGTTATTACACCTTGTGTTTAGGTAACTGACAATCTATTTGAAGAATAAGCATCACTGATAGCTCTTACAACAAAAGGACCTAGATCTTTCCAGAATACCTTATAAAAATATGCACTAAAGCCTAATGTCCCCGGACTTTTATTATATGCCATATTTTGTAAAAACTTTATTAGCTTCTTCATAACTTATATAGCATTCTAATAAATTGGATTCCGGTTCACTTAAAACCGGTACTTTTATATTTTCCGCAAATTGTAAAAATTGATCATTTGCATCATACATGTATGACGACTTTTTGCTTAAAAGATGTCTATAAAAAATCTTCAATTTATTTAAATATTAACTCTTGATCATTTAGAATACTGCCGTCATCTTTTTTAATCTTATATATAGTCTTAGTCATGAAACTATCTTTTTCTAAACCGCCAAAAATTGAAGGTTTTTTCTCCTTCTAACGTCCGCTTTGCTCTTGATCTTATAACATAACATTGAAGCTGAATTTTTATTTAATTCTTTTAAGTAAATTGCAATTCTTGCAATCGGTTCAGTTTATCGTCGGACAAGTTTGATTAAATTTCATTTATTATACTTTTTTTTCGTCATATCTTTCTTTTTCTTTAGATTACTGCTGTAAGATATAGCTGCCCCTCTCAGTTCCATTAAAAGTGTTTCTAAAAAACAACTTGCCGTTTTTCGTAAGCTGAATGTCATCATTTGATATTTCTATGTTCTATGTTTATGTATATTAAAAGTTATATATAGGTAAAGCATACTGTTTTTTTAATATCAGCGATACTTGTCTGTATTTTATTCAAATAATTTATATGTATATATTTTAAAAGGGAATTGTTATGTTTCGATATACCTTTTTCGTGTATAAAAACATTAAACTTTACCTTCTTTTTTAACAATTTAATGATCTGACTGACAGCTTGTCTTAATATAAATATTTCCTACATCAGGAAAAATTGTTTCAGTTACCAGGAAAAATCAAGGCGTGCTTGTTGGAGTGGTGTCGGTTTACGCCATGTGCCATGTTCGGATTCCGAAAAAAATATCTGAACGGATCAAAAAGATTTCTCTGATCAATATTTTGTATTATTACCCCTCACATTTTCGAAATGTTAATTTCCCATAGGCCTCTGGGAGTTATTCTTACTGTTAATGCAAGTGTACTGTTACATAGGTAACAGTATTTTTTAACAGTATAAAATCTGGTCACTTGGTCTAGTTTCTTAATAAAATGAAATAAAATGGCCGCCATTTTTCTCTCGATTCATTCTTATTTTCGACGATAGGGACTCACCAAAGTAACTATGGCTCTCATAAAATTTAGTTCTTTGCACCCTACAGCTCTTTTCGCGTAAAAAATATAATTTTGTTGAATAGTCAAAAAGTTAACATCCGTTTTCAACGGAAGTAATTGTAATGTGAATAATTTTTTGTCAAACTAAAACATGCAGACGATTTAAGCATGCAACAAAGGATTATTTAACAATTTTAACCAGTGAAACGTTACAGATAGAGTTGGTGGACAGACATCTGTAGGATATCTTCGTCATTTTGTAAATGCACTTTGTGAAAAACCGTGCGAAGAATATTCTGGATAAAGAAGGATCAGATTTCACAGATCACAACCTTATGAATGGGTTAGTGTTTTGTTTTCTAAATAAAACATAGTTAATTGTATGTTTATGACTGGTAGATATCATCACTTGCTTAAAGAATAAAAGAAAAACAGCTTCTCAAGTAGGCCTACAGTACATTTCACTTAAAACTTGCAAGGTAAGGACAGATTAGTTATTGCTACTCTTGATTTATTTTTGCTACAGTTAGATTTAGTTTACAAATTCAGATCATCACAGTATTTGTTCGGAGTAATAAAATAAGTAACACATGGATTTGTGTGTAACCTTTAAAATATCATCCCTCGTAAAAATACTGTGACCCTCGGCTACGCCTCGGGCAACAGTATATTCCTCGGGATGATATTTTTACTGTTACCAATAAACCCATGTGTTATTTATATAATATAAAATTTCTAGCTTTATCATTATTTACAGATTTATAGTTGTAATAATCTTGTTCAGGATCTAGAACTTAGTTAAAAATCGCCACATAAGATATAAGAATCTTTTCCTATTCTGTCAATAGATATCAAACACTTCGCTGTCAAAAATTGGTTGATCTGTATTTGGGCCGTAAAGATTTATAAGGGTTTATCTTTTTTCTTCAATTGTTAAGTCTAAAACAATAAAGTTTCCTTTGTTATCAATATGTTTGCTATGAATTTTATATTCAATATTTTTATTAAAAAATATTGCAACTCCCCGTGAATTGTATGTTCCTTGACTCAGGAAGCATTCATTATTCCATTCACAGTATATATTTATATTCATATTAAACGATAAGTGTCTATCTTGTAAACAGTAAGTACTGCATTTCATTTTTTTCTGCTTCAAAAATCTAATTACTCTAATCTCTTTTTTAGAACCGTTAAGACCTCTACAATTCAAAGATATGATATTGGCTACTTGCATTCCTCTAAAACGTATTTTTGAGAAAAAAACATGTTTCAGTAAAGGTTATGTGAACAAAAAACAAACAAATTAATAGATCATTTATACATACATAAACAAATACAGACAAACACACACATATATACAAAATAAACACAGAAAGAACAATTGTTACCAGAATATAACTTGAGAAAAATAATTATATCACTTATACACTGGATATATTTTTCACTTGTTTAAATGCGAAACTGTGACAGTAAAAAGAACACAGATAGCTCGACTATTCTTCTTGTTCAAGCGCTAAGTCTTCTTCTAACCAGAATAATTTAGTTGAAAAATATAGCTTATATTAAAAAACAAATTATCTGAATAATCGAGCTAAACTTAAGAAAGAAGCTTCTTTTGTTTTCTTCAAAGCTTACATCTCTATTAGAAAAATAAAAACATAAAAATAACAATGGTAGACAAATTGCTGGGAATAAAGAACACACAGTTAAATGGAATTTCATCTGTTGCACTTTAACACAAGAAAGTTTCATTGTGAAAAAAGAGAACAGTTCTCCCCCTCCCTCCCCCTCTCACCACCCAAACCACTATATACTTATTTAGGGCATCATATATATATTTAAGCATACAATAATAAGTGATTATTCCTGCAGAGATATAACTTAAAGGCATAATATGCACTTTTATAAAACCGACTTCTTAGTATTTATGTATTTAGTATGTGCTGCGTGAATAGAGCGAAAGAGAAAATCAAAACAAAACTTTTTAAAGCACAATAAATAGTATATCATTAAATTAAAGTTATATTGAAATGAACCTCAAAGTCATGAAATAGTTTGATATTTATAGTCAGTCATAGCTTGATACACTTTAAATATGAACATTATTTAAAATCCCTAGATAGCAACAAAACAAAAAAGCAAACA